ATAGTCCCATGTACCATTACTAAAGAGTCCATATGTTTCTATTGCCAAAGGAAGGGGCATTGGTTGCGAAGCTGCCCTATTTACCTGAAAGTTCACTAGGATGGTAAAAGTCAAAAATTTGACTATGCTTCAGGTAAAGTCCACTATCTAACTCTATTAAGTTCCTATTTGGAGATTCTTATTGCATGATGTGACTAGGTCGCATTTTGATGTTTTGTAGAATCGAAAAAGGAGAGGAAGCTTAGAAGAAGAGTATGCTGAATCTGATCGCATGATTCGAAGATTAGAATTTTGAGCTGCTGCTTAAGAGTTATGATAGATTGCTTAGGAATAGATAACAACATAGTTTTCATATCTATTTGCATTGTAAGAATAAGTTTTTTCCGCAATTTTAAAATAAAAGGAAAATTTTCTGATTTTATTTATTTTTAAGTATCCTTACAATGACATTTGTGAAAATTGTTGATTACATGTTTCCATTGATAGCAATATTGGAAAATAGATTTGATTCTTTCGTTTGTGGTAGTGTCATAATTTACCAAATAAAGCAAGATTTTCATCACCCAAGTTTCAGTTGGATAGAAACTTAGAATCATGCAACCTCTATTGTATGATGAATGAGAATTTTCATCTTTGGGAAATTAAGACTAATTCCTTGTTCACATGTACATGTGAGTCAAGTGAAGGACTAGGAGATCGGGTACACTTGGTTGTGCGCTGATAAGGTCCACCACAAAGAATGATAAGGCTATTCGTCATGATTTACTAAAGTTTAGTAAATATGGTTGTGCTTACAAGTTTAAGTATAATTCTGAAACATTGAAAAGGTTTCAATGTATGGCAGTACGAATGAGAAGAATAAAATTAGGCAGAAAGATAAAAGTTTCTCCAATCTGAAAAGATGGGAGAGCACTTCAGTATCATGTTTTATGATCATCTGAATGATTTTGAAAAACCATATCACAATTGATCCTCTAATGACATCTTATGCATTTGTTTGACTAAGAAGAGGAATCGTGAATTGTTGAAATGGTTAAATCAAAAGATGAATCATACTTCGTTCCAAAATTAAGTCTTAGAGTAATACTCCAAGATTGAGCCTTGAGTGACATAATGTTAAGAAGGTTTAAAACACTTATCAAATGTAGAGTAAAATGTTTTCTACTCTTGTACATTTGAAATTGGTGAGTTGTGATGTTTTGGATAAAACAAAGACCAACTAAGGCCAATTGTGTGAAGTGTTTGTCTTGATTAGAATCCGCACTAACTCTTGGATATTGGTTTGTCAAGTAATGTTCCTTGACAAAGTGAATCATATATGTCAAGAGGTTAGTGGGAGTCTTAAATATCTTGACAAGTTTCAAGAACTAATCAAGAATAAACCTATTGTTAAACACTAGCACACGACTTGAGTTTTCAAGAAAAACATATTCTAGTTTCTGTGCCCATTCCAGTTAAAGTTGACTATGCATGTGAGTTCTATGAGTTCTCAGTTGTTTGCATAACTACTTGGAAGCAATGGTAGGCCCTTGTGCTGCCAGGTGGCAAGAAGTTAAGATTGAACAAGTTCAGTCCATATAAGTTTGGAGTTGTCACTAACCTCCTCCAGTGGTTATGTTTTTGACAAATTCACATGGATAGGACCACATACACCATAAAATCTAAGTGTCATAAGGTTTTTCTTCGATTCATGAAAATGATGGTGAGGAAACGCTTTCACTAAGTAGTTTTTAAGGAGATAGAAAATGTGATATATGCATTCTCAAATTCAATTATGATTACGACATCCCTTTTCATAATTCGAATTGTGAGTAATGGCAAAGGTCTAAACATTTGAGACTATGATTACGTCATCCCTTTTCATGGTTCTAAAATTGTTTAGACACACATGTGAGCTATCTAAGGAAATGTGTATGATTTTGGGAAGCTTAGATAAAGTCTTATCGAAGCATCTCGTATCAGAAACCTGAACTTTGGTAATGAAAGTCAATAAAGTATTGATTTCTAGAAGTCCAGCTGATTTTTGGATACATGTCAAAGCTAGTGGGAGCATAAGTGTTATGCTGATAAGAATATAATTATCATGTTAGTGGGAGCATGATTACTATGTTAAGTGTTGCAAGTTAGCAATGTTAATTATAGAAAGCAAAGGTTTCAATTCGCCAAGTTGCAGGGTTTGAAAAATTGTTTTGCTATAATTAAGGGAGAGTAAATTATACTTCATTCCAATTCTGAAAGCTTAAATTGAGATTATAATCAAATTTAGTCAAGTATATATATGAATGTTATGTTGGAATGGTTCAACATGAGGAAATTCTATATATGGAAATGTTAATTGCGTTCTCAAAATTTGATTATGATTATGTCATCCCTCTTCATAGTCTGAATTTTGAGAACATGGCTGATAGAAAAAATTATAGCAAAAGACTAGTCTAGTATCATGTTTTTATGTGAGACATTATGAATCGTATCCCATATGCTTCGGGTATAGGATCGACTGCATATGCTATAATATTTCTGTGTGTTCTGAATTTTCCAAATGCCTAGGGCATTAAGAGGGAAAAAGGACCAGAACTGTATATGACTAAAATGATTAAGCAATTATCAAGGACAATCTGAGGTTTGCCAAAGATGGGTTGCTCATGGACATTTGGAAGTATAGTGTAAATTTTGGAAGGACCATATTGACAAATTCTGAAAAGAGGCAACTCTTGTTTAGAAGTGATAGTTAAAATGGGAATATGAAAATGTTTCCGTACGTGGAAGTTATTCATTAAATATGTGTAAGATTAGAAAACTTAATGCAAGAAGGATGTTCAAAGGAGTGTACTTTGAATGTGAGACTTCGTTTCCATGGGATTGCTCTCCATTGGAATACTTTGTAATGTCTGTTGCCGAGTCTTTGTGACTTTTGTGCATAGTCATTACAAGAGGATCATTGCATATAAGTTTAGAATCTAACAGATTTCAGGAAATGGCAAAGAATCTTGGATTCTTACATTTGTCATAAGGATTTGGAATTGTGAAATGAGCATCATTGAAATATTTTCAATTGATCTATTCCACAAAGAAAGGACCATAGGTAAACATAGTGTGCATGCTTGTAGCATGAGACAACTATTGTTTTAATTCAAGTATTAAGTTGATTATTCGAAACATTATACAATGAATAATGAGTAATCAATATGACTCAAAAGTTTTGGGGCCATATAGGATTAGTATTATTCTTGTGTTTCACTTTGCATGTTTTGACTTCCTGAATAACTAGGTTATTCAAACCGTCCACAGTCGATGATACTTTGGAAGTAGGTATTGAGGCAAGACTGCCATGAATGGGTCTGTAGTATGTCTAGATGTTTTAGACATAGCTGCAGTATTCATGAGTGCTCCTGGAATAAGATTCGTGTATTGGATTAAACCCACGCTCATTTAAATCACTTCATGGATTTTATCACGAGTGATCATGAGACGATAATATCTTATATTCTTCAAACAGAGACGTGTGATTTGTAGTTGCGAGTCAGTTGCACATTGACATATGTAAACGCACCAGTAACTTGGATGTTATAAAAAATATCGTTGTGTGTAATTTGATGAGTGAGTACAAGTGAGCATTTGGGTCGAAGTTTATCCGTTCCTTTTTCCCCATGTGGATAAAAGCGATATCTGTGGGCCCCTCGATGATTTAGTGATGACAACCCTAAGTGCCCGGCCGGGCCTGGACTGATTTGATTTGTTCAATTAGTCGGTCGTCATAAATCAGAAATCGGGAAACAACAGATGGACAGAGAGAATGATCATAATGCATGTATCAGTACATATGATATCTAGAATGGAGGAATATATGATCCCTTATCTAATGGACACGTCATTAACTAGGTCAGAGTTCGGCAACGAATTTTAAGAGCTACGATTGCTAGTCGGGATTTTGGAGTCGTATTTGCAATAATAGTTTTAGACTTATCCAAGTGGGAGACTATTGGATTAGATGTCTAAGCCCATAACTATTATTGGTATGTACTCGACCCGAGAGTAGCATGGTCCAGTTGGGTTGCATAACACCAGGACAATTTGTTAGGATGGACTCTTGAGAGAAGGTTATATATGATTTATTAATATATTATAAGTTCTAATATATTAATACGAAATCATATGTTTTAATTAGTATTGATCAAGAATTAATTTAGTGATCAAAAGAGACTAATTAAATCTATGGGGACTAATTATGGTAATTAGTTATATTTATATGTGTTGGGCTTATGATCCATGTTGGACCAAGTTTATGCATGGACACATAAAGAGTTGGGCCACATGAACCATGGATCATAATACCCATGGGTATGGATTTGGGTTATACCCATAGCCCTTGGAATCCATCTTATACATATGTACTCCTTAGCCAAAAAACGCCTACACACATATTCTTGGAGTTCATGTGGTGTTTTTGGTGCATGGAGATTCTCTCTTAAGAGCCACCTTTGTCCTAGGTGAGTTGTGAGCCATTTGAGGCATTCATACTTTTGGTGATAAGCTCTTAAGGCCAAATACAACAAGGTTTCAAGCTACATAATAGGTATGTCATCCTAACTAGTATTTCATATTGTTTATGTCAATTGCATGCTAGTTATAGGCTTAATGCTTTGGAAACATTATTACATGTATAATTAGAGAAAACATAGATCCAAGGCATTTAGGGTTGTATATGTGCCATAGGATGTTGTAGTATACAAAACCCAACAGGTTGATGACAGGGTCGTATACTGATGATCAGAGAGCTGCAGTTACTTGGAAGCAGTTCAGGGATATGTTCCGCTCTCGCTACATTCCACGGGTCAAGCGCGAGCACAGGAGTTTCTGGATTTGGGGGCCAACATGGCCGCACTTATGGGAAGTGCGGGAAGGTCCATTCGAGAGTTTGTAGATCGGGTAGTGCGTGCCGCAAATAAGGAAAAGAGGGGCACTTCGCGCAGGATTGTCACCAGTCAGCCCCGATTCAGGATATGAGGATTTTCTATCACTGCGATCAGGTTGGTCACGTGAAGACCAACTGTCCACAGCTTGTTGCCAGGCCGGCGCAGGCTCTAGCGCTGGCTACACTAAGGATTACTGACGGGGGTCAGGGTAGGGCAGAGCCTCTGAAGGCTCGAGGATCCAAGACATCACCAGATGTGGTTGCTGGTATGTTTCTACCCCTTATCTTGTTGATTATATTTGTTTTACGCTTATATGTGTGTTGTACCTATGATTAGGTACATTTTTAGTGAACTCCTTACCTGCTTTTGTATTATTCGACTCGGGGGTGAGTCGGTCATTTGCCTCTTGATCGTTTAGTAGGGAGTTCGGTTTGCCAATAGGAGAGCTAGAATTTCCATTGCGAGTCTGTATCGCCGATGAATAAGGGATTTCTGCTTCTTCGGTCTATCGGGGTTGTGTTATGGAGATCTTCGGGGTATCCTTCCCAATAGACTTGATTCCGATTCCCATGGGGGATATATGCATGATTGTGGGTATAGACTGGCTTAGTCGCTTCGGTGCCATGATCGACTGCGAGGGTCAGCGGGTGGTAGTTCGAACCCCAAGTGAGGTAGAACTGGTTATCTACGGCGAGGGCACCAGATTGGGAACATAGTTTTGCTTAGATGTGAGGGCTCGATATTATATTCAACACGGGTGTGCGGGTTACTTAGTGTATGTGGTGGATACGTGAGTCAGGGATCCAGTTTCAGTTTCGAATGTTCCGGTGGCCAGAGAGTTCGTTGATGTCTTTCCGGAGGAGTTGCCCGGAGTGCCTCCGGAGAGGTAGGTCGAGTTTAGGATCGATCTAGTTCCAGGTGCGACCCTTATCGCCAAGGCGCCGTACCGATTGGCACCACCAGAGGTGCAGGAGCTGTCATCATAGCTGCAGGAACTGTTGGGCAAGCAGTTCCTACGTCTGAGCAGTTCGTCGTGGGGAGCGTTGATTCTCTTCGTCAGGAAGAAGGATGGTTCACACCGGATGTGCATTGACCACCGGGAGTTGAACAAGTTGACGGTGAAGAACCGTTATCCACTCCCGAGGATTGATGATCTTTTTGATCAGTTTCAGGGAGCATCTTGGTTCTCCAAGATAGATCTGAGGTCCGGGTACCATCAGGTCAGGGTACGGGAGGAGGACATGAAGAAGACTGCATTCCAGACTCATTATGGACATTATGAGTTCGTGGTGATTCCATTTGGGCTCACCAACGCGCCAACTATATTTATGGACCTGATGAATCGGGTCTACAGACCGATGCTTGATCGCTCGGTCATTGTGTTCATAGATGATATCTTGGTGTATTCCAAGACCAGAGAACAGTACGAGGAGCACCTCCATGAGTTATTAGGAGTTCTGAGACGAGAACGGCTGTATGCCAAGTTCTTGAAGTGCGAGTTTTGGTTACGAGAGGTTCAGTTCCTTGGACATCTTGTTAATCAGGATGGGATTTTGGTCGATCTGGCCAAGATCGAGGCAATTATGTAGTGGGAGGTTCCGAAATCTCCCTCGGATATCAGGAGCTTTTTGGGATTGGCAGGGTAGTACTGCAGATTCATACAGGATTTCTCAAAGATTGCGGTACCTCTCACTCGTCTGACGAGGAAGGGGTGGTTTTTTGGTGGGGACCTGAGCAGCAGACTACATTCGAGACGCTGAGATAGCGACTTTGTGAGGCGTTAGTGTTGACACTCCCTGACGGAGTCGAGGATTTTGTGGTGTTTTGTGATGCATCGATCAACGGATTTGTAGTGGTCCTTATGCACAGAAGATGGGTGATAGCATATGCATCGCGGCAGCTGAAGTCGCACGAGACGAGATATCCCACACGCGATCTTGAGTTGGGAGCGGTAGTGTTTGCTCTTAAGATCTGGAGACATTACATCTATGGGGTCCGCTGTACCATATACACGGACCACAAGAGTCAGAGACACATCATGGATCGGTCGAACCTAAACATGAGACAGCGTAGGTGTCTTGACGTAGTCAACGATTATGACTGCGATATCCTTTACCATCCGAGTAAAGCGAATGTGGTTGCGGACGCCCTGAGCCGTAAGTCAGCTGGATCTTCTGTTCCAGCTGCATGTATGAGGATATATGTGGATTCTCCACTCGTGAGCTTGATCAGGGAAGCTCAGGCTGAGGGTATGCGGCTGGAGAACTGGAAGCTTGAGAGGATCATGGGTGAGAACACCCAATTTGTGTAGGGTAGTCGGGGGTTGTTGACCCGTTGTGGCCGGGTCTGGGTTCCGATGTCTGGTGGGGCCAGACAAATTGTTTGTAACAACCCGATTTCCTAGATGTGGAAACTTGAGGATTTAGTGCAAGTTGAAGGGCCTACTCGACGAGTTGGTTGCCCCCAACTCGTTGTGTAGGAGTTGATCAGGATGCGTGGGTTAGGAAGCCTACTCGTCGAGTTGGAATCGACGAGTTGAGACTGTGTGATGAAACCCTAATTTCTCGGATGTGCAGCCTCTTTAAAGGACCTTAAGTCCTTTACCTCTCCTCTCTTACCACTTTTCATGTCAAGAGAGTAACCCTAGCAAGATAAGTGTGTGAGTGAGGCCAAAAGTGTGTTTTTGGAGCATTTGTAACATCCCAAATTTCGAGTCCAAAAATTTCATTTTAATTAACTGAGTATAAAACATTCATAAGAAAACTATGTGAAAATATATCGTTTCGTAAATCAACATAACATGTCTGAAAACCCAATCATAAAGAAGCAACATGTCAGAGTACAATCCCAGAATATCTCAAGTGCGGAAAATCAATGCGTGTGTGTATGATGTGCTGCTACCACGCCAGCTCCTTCCCCTTTGATGAAGAGGTACCTGAGACCAAAACTGTAAACTGTAAGCACGAAGCTTAGTGAGTTCCCCCATAGTACCGCATACCATACAATCACATAACATACATATACTGTCAGACATATCTGGGTGCCCGACCTACCCCTTCGGTCCTCTCGACCGGATACTGCCTAGCATATCTGGGTGCTGGCCTCCCCTTCGGTCCTCTCGACCGGATACTGCCTAGCATATCTGGGTGTTGGCCTCCCCTTCGGTCCTCTCGACCGGATACTGGGGACTATTTCACCCCTTTACTACTACCACATAACATATAACACATAATCACATTCTAACTAGCATGACAGGGTATGAATACCCTCCCCCCCTCCCCCTTCGGCCCTACCGACCGGAAATCTTGGGGACTATCTCCCCTACTGCTACATCATATCATACTAGCACATAACACATCAGGTAGTAGCAAACCTAGATGAATATCACAAAGACAGTCATCTAACATACAACTCCTACTGGTGGGTCGACATTGTGGCCGTAGACCCACCGCTACTGGAAGGTAACTCACCTTGAACAAAGCAGCTGATAATCTGCGCGGGGAAATCTCTGTCTGCTGCTGCTCCGGAAATCCTCCGGCTATAATCCCCACAAAAACACTTAGTCAGAGTCTGATATCTATTCTAAGGGTAAAATGACCATTTTACCCCTGACCAATTCCAAGACAAAGTCAAAGTCAACTTCCAGTTGACCCGACTCGCCGAGTTGGGCCTCCAACTCGTCGAGTCCCTATCCTTTCATCTGTCCTTCTTCACGCCTCTACTCGTCGAGTTTGGCAACGACTCGACAAGTTCTCCTTCTAGAACAACCCATACGAACCTTCATCCGACTCGCCGAGTTGTATGAACAACTCGTCGAGTTCATCTCCTTCCTATAAACAAGTCCTGTCCTCGACTCGCCGAGTTGTATGATCAACTCGTCGAGTTCATCCTCAAGAGTTGGGAGATTGCCTTGGACACGCCGAGTCTGTTCATGTACTCACCGAGTCCTATGAACTCCAAGACTATGGCTTATCCCAATATGTTGGGTCACTCCTCCGGACCCTCTAAAACCTTTCCAGCACTCCACTGGGTCTCCTTGACCCATAACAGAAAAGGGGAGTCTAACCTCGGACTCGCCGAGTCCCAAGAACGACTCGCCGAGTCGGTACAGTCCAAGTCTTATTTCTTCGATTTCTGGTGTAAAACTCTTGTCCAAATGATAGATCTAGGTCCCTAAACTCGATCTAGCACGTAAAGTTACGAACTTTACGTGCATGCATGGGACTTTGAGCCTAAAAGGCTCTAAAAGAGACTCTTGGGTTGCATGGGGGCTCCCATGGGTGCAAAAGCAGCTCTTATCTGCCTTGTAACTCCTTCATGGACCTAGATCCGAAGCCTCAACCCCCAACCATGCTTGCAATCATGGTTGGTTACCAAAGATGGCTTAAAAAGCCCTAAATCTCCCCAAAGAGGGATCTAGCAAATGAACAAGCAAGATATCGACTTTATACCTTCTGGGAACTGCAAATGATGCACAAACTTGAACTCCCTTGGTCTTCTCTTGATTCCTCCAAGCTTTTCCTTCTTCTTTGAGTTCAAAATCACCAACAAGCACCACAAATGCCTTAGCTCGTTATACAAACGGTTAGGGTTTGCTATGGGGGTTTTCTGGAAGCAATAGGGACGAAGGGTGGCTGAATGAGATGTTTAAATAGGGTGCAAACCCTTATATTAAGGTTTTGTCCAGTCAGAGTCTACTCGTCGAGTCTGGAAGCCGACTCGACGAGTCCTTCATTTAAATCCCGGATCAAATCCGTTTCTACTCGACGAGTTGGTCCTTCAACTCGCCGAGCCCCGGGCCAAAAATGCAAAATACTTAAATAAAATACATACCAGGAACCAGGTGCTACAAATCTCCCCCACTTATTTTATACTTCATCCTCGAAGTCTGCTGCTCGTTCCTAGAAAAGCTCTGGGTAATGCTCCATCATCTCATCCACCGACTCCCACGTCCATTCCGAGCCCTTCTGGTGCTGCCATTGCACCTTTACCAGCTCAACCCTCTTGTTCCTCAAATCCTTCGTCTTCCAGTCGTGGATCGCTACAGGCCGCTCGATGTAATTCAGGCTGTCATCGACCTGAATATCCTCTAATGGTACTACTTCCGAATCGTCCACCAAACATTTCCGTAACTGGGAGACGTGAAAAGTGCTATGAATCTGATTGAGTTCGGCTGACAGGTCCAGCCTATACGCCACTTTGCCCACCCGGGCTATAACCCTGAAGGGTCCAATATACCTGGGACCCAACTTGCCCCGCTTCCTGAATCGGATGACGCCCTTCCATAGCAACACCTTCAGGAGAACCATATCCCCGAACTGAAACTCCAGGTCTGATCGGCGCTTGTCGGCATAACTTTTCTGCCGACTCTGAGCAGTCTGAAGCCTGCTCCGAACCTGCTGAATCCTCTCTGTCGTCTTGAGCACCACTTCGGTGCTCCCCATCACCCTCTGGCCAACCTCACCCCAACATATCGGGGTCCTGCACTTCCTCCCGTATAACATCTCGAAGGGAGGACGGTCAATACTCACGTGGTAGCTGTTGTTGTACGAGAACTCAGCCAATGGGAGGTAAGTATCCCAACTACCACCGAAATCTAACACACACGCCCGCAGCATATCCTCCAGAGTCTGGATGGTCCGCTCGCTCTGACCATCTGTCTGCGGATGAAATGCAGTGCTAAAGTTTAGACGAGTACCCAGCTCGTCATGAAACTTCTTCCAAAACCTGGAAGTGACCACACATCCCTGTCTGAAATCACCGAAACTGGCACCCCGTGCCTCGCCACCACCTCCCTGATGTAGATATCGGCCAACCTTTCGGCCGAAATACTCTCCTGAACCGGAATAAAATGGGCGCTCTTGGTCAATCAATTGACGATGACCCAAATCGAATCTACGCCTCGCGTGGTCCTGGGAAGCTTCGTGATAAAATCCATCGTAATGTCTTCCCATTTCCACATGGGCATATCTAACGGCTGCATCAAGCCGTGTGGTCTCTGGTGCTCTGCCTTGACCTTCCTGCAGGTCAAGCACCGCTCCACGTACCATGCCACATCCCGCTTCATGCAGGGCCACCAATAGTCAAGACGAAGATCCCTATACATATTCGTCGCCCCAGGATGGATAGAAAACCTGGATTTGTGCGCCTCCTCCATCAGTGTCTGGCGCGCTCCTCCATGATAGGGGACCCACACCCTACGGTGGAGGGTCAACAGCCCTCGGCTATCATAGTCGAAGGAGGAAACCTGACCTATAATACGCTCGCTCTTCCGATGTTCCTCCTTCATAGCCTCCTGCTGGGCCTCTCGGATTTGCTCTAGCAGCGGAGTTACCACGGTCATCCGCATACAGACATCCCTGATCGGCACTGCCTTGCGGCTAAGCGCATCTGCCACGACATTGGCCTTCCCCGGGTGGTAAAGGATCTCGCAATCATAATCATTCACCACGTCCAACCACCGACGCTGCCTCATGTTCAGATTCGGCTGATCCATGTGGTACCTCAAACTCTTGTGGTCCGTGTAAATGGTACAACGGATCCCATAAAGGTAATGGCGCTAAATCTTGAGGGCGAACACAACAGCACCCAATTCCAAATCATGCGTCGGATAGTTCGCCTCGTGAGGCTTCAGTTGCCTCGAAGCGTAGGCGATGACATGCCCTCTTTGCATCAATACCGCGCCCAAACCCGAAATAGACGCGTCGCAGTACACAACAAAATCCTCTACGCCCTCTGGCAGGGCTAAGATCGGCGCCTCGCACAATCTCTGTCTCAGTGTCTCAAATGTTGCCTGCTGCTCAGGCCCCCAATGAGAGACTACGGTTTTCTTCGTCAGCCGCGTCAAGGGTACGACTATCTTGGATAAATACTGGATGAATCTCAGATAGTAGCCGGCCAATCCCAGGAAACTCCGAATCTCAGATGGAGACTTCGGAATCTCCCACCTCATCACGGCCTCCACCTTGGCCGGGTCGACCAGAATACCATTCTAGTTGACAAGGTGCCCAAGAAACTGCACCTCGCGCAACAAAAACTCACACTTGGAGAACTTGGCGTACAAGCTCTCTCTCCTCAAAGTATCCAAAACCTCTCGCAGATGCTCCTCATGCTGCTCTTGCGTCTTGGAATAGACCAAGATGTCATCAATGAAAACTATCACGGACCGATCCAGCATCGGTCTACACACACGGTTCATGAGGTCCATGAACGCGACAGGAGCATTGGTGAGCCCGAAAGGCATCACCACGAACTCATAATGGCCATAACGCGTCCGAAACGTAGTCTTCTGCACATCCTCCTCTCTGACCC